TGATTCAAGAGAACCAAATACAAGCTCCTCCCACCTAGGATAACCGAAATTGAAAACCAAATGCTCCGACCATCCACCATTAGCCACCAACCACTACGACTGCCGACCACCAATCGCTAGCCACCCAAATCTAACGACCGCCCCTTTACTCAAAATAAATAAAGGAACAAAGAAAAAAACAAAGTTCACCTTCGATGCAAGCCTTCAAGCAAATCCCGAACTTTCGGTGATACTCCGATGAGACTCTGACGAGGGTATATTCTTTATTTTTCACTTGTTTTTCCTCCTTTTCTTGAGTTTAGTTGATGATTTTAATCTCTGACGATTATGGTGTGATTAGTGCTCATTTATACTAAAAAATGGCTATGGTTTGCTACTAATCCCACTCAAAGTTTGTTAAAATGAATTATTTCAACAATCTTCAATTTTGAGATTCTAGAAGCTTTCTTCATACTTTAATATTTTTACAATTTTTATGATTTTTTTCGATTTGAAATGATGAAAATCGGTGACCAGTGCTTGGAGGACAGTGGCGCGTGAACTACATGCGCTGGTGGTGACAACGACGCTCTGGCTACACGCCGACGAGACTCCGGTGACACTCTAGTGCTGACGTGGCACTTTCTTTGCCCTTGGATCTAGATTTAATCGATGGTCCACACTATTTTATGGTTTTTTCACTTGAAAACACAAACTCTCATTCAATGCATCAAATAAATGAAGGGGCCCCATAATGCATCTTTCCAAGGCATGAAAAATCAAAAAATTCCCCTCAAAACCAAAGCAATGGGCGCCAAACAAGGGGCAAAAATAGGGATTCCAACATTTTATCACATATTGGGCTTGTATATTTTTGGGCTTTTTTGGAAAAAAAAATGATTTGTAAATTAGACTTGTATTTATAAATGGACTATACTTATCTAATATATTGGGCTACACATCATTTATTTATTTTGTAAAAATAATTGGCCTATCTATTATTTATTTAATGCACTAATCATATTTGAAAATCCAAATATTAAGACCATGTCATATACCCAAAACTATTTATACCAACATTAGAACTACCATGTAACAAAATTAAAATAAAACCATATACTATATTAAAACTATACTAATATAATATATATTTAAAAAAATTTAAAATATACATTAAAAAAACTTTCACATAAAAACTATATATTATACAGAATCATATTAAACTATATTATATTTTTAAAACTACTATATTATTTACAAAAACTATAAACTATATTTTATTAGAAAAACTATACTAATATTATTTATAGAACTATACTATAAAACTATATTTAATAATAACCCACTAAAACGTCACCACCCAGATAAAATGGGTGGTGAAAATATGTTGACATGGTTTTATGATTTTAAATTGTGTTTGGTAAATTTTTAATCTTCCTTGATTTTTAATGTGGGTCACTTCGGTGTCCCTAATGTAACACCTCAGATCGGATCGGTTCACCTGTATCAGTCTGGGGGTGTTACATTTATTCCCACATCTTTTTCATTTTCTTCTTCCTCCAACTCCATCATTCTCCTTAGAAACTTGAGAAAAAGGTTGAAGCTTTGTTGGTCTACAATCCTAGTTCAATTTTGCTAAGGTAAGGAATGAAATCTCCTCATCATAAGCTTCCTTTTAAGCCCACAATATGAAGGTTTGGCCATGGAAACCATAAATGGGGTTCAATGGGGTTTTAGAAAACAATAAATTTTTAGTTTGGTTTTTTTTTATAGATTTAGGCTATAGGAAGTGTTCTTAACTTCGATTAAAGTTCCTAAATGAGTTAGTAACTCATTTTCCTTGTCTAGGATTAGCGAAAGTGGTTGGAGATAGGGATGGCAAAGGAGCGGGGTTGGTGTAGATACCTGTTCCCCCATCCCTATATACACCTAATATATTTGTATTCACCACCTACTCTCCACCCACGATAGATAAAATTATTAAATCCACACCTTCCCAGGCGGGTATATTCTCAAATCCACCCCCACATCCACTACCCAATTAATTACCCACCACCCATCTCATACCCGTCTGTATCTGTCCATACCCACCTAACAACAACCTCACAGATTATATAATACGGTTTTCAATTCTAAATTTTTTTTATACTTTAACATTTGGTTAAATTATAAGTCATTTCCTATAAAATCTCAATATTTATAGAATAATCTTTAAAATTATACCTAAATTCAAAATGGTCCAAAATTTATATGGCTGGTAGTTAGTGGGCGAGCGGATGTGGGGCGGGTGAATGCAAGGTGGGTGGATACAGGGCAGGTAAGGTCTCAAACCCATCACCTACCCACTACCCACAGTGGGTATGACTTTTTACATCTACGACCGTCCACTACCCACTAAACTTATACCCATCCCGCCCTAAATTGGAGCGGGTACAATGCAAAATCCACAAAATTATACATGTCTGTCATCCTTAGTTGGAGAAATCTCAAAGACCAAAGGCAAAAAGAAGTTAGTTCTTGGTTGAGTGAGAATATTTTTTTCAGTAAACTAGTAACAAGGTAACATATTTCTAACTTCTCTATACCCCTTGTAAGTCATTAGATGTTCTTAATTAGCTTGCATGAGTTCATGAAGCTTATGAACACATTCATGGTAGATTTCAATTATGATGTCATTTAACATGAAAATTGGCCTTTTATAAATCATTTAATCATACAAAAGACTTAAATAACATTTAAGGCCCTTAAAGGGCAAATGGGTAGAGTTGGGTGTCATCTCCATGCTCAAAATAAGGTATTTCTGGGTTTGAGTATCAGTACTAGATGAACAATACCTATACTATTATTGAGATAGCTTAAAACAAGGGGTTTTTTGGCTAGTGGTATTGATACCATGTTCATAGGGTATCGATACTATTCGTTCGGTATCGATACAAAAGGGTAAGGTATAAATACAATCTTTAGATGTAAAATTCTAGTAGTCATTTTTGGTATCAGTACTCATGGGAGTATCGATACCATGTGAAGCAGCGGTATCGATACCCTATGTAAGGGTATCGATACTGAGATTATTTCCAAAACATCAAACCTAATTTTGGTATCGATACTCAGGATGGTATCGATACCCTAGTACAAAAGTGTTGAGACTCTAGTTAAGAGTATCGATACTATCAAGTTTTCTTAGATTCCAATAACCAGCTTTAATATCGGTACCAAGTTGAGTATCGATACTCAAAGGTCAATATAAATACTAAAAGGCTTAGTATTAGCACCCTCATATTGAATTTGGTAAGAAACTCAATTTGATCGAGGGGTTTGGAAATGGGTCTAATAACATTAGACTTCACTAATAAAACTACAAGTGAGAACAGTTAATGAATGGAGATACAACTAGGAATGATATGAGGTAAGAAGACATAAAACTAGCCATTGTGTGACGCTCGTGAAATAATCAATATACACGGTTTACTTTAACAGTATGATGATTGTCTTATATGGCTAAAATATTTGAATATATCTCAACTAGTGCCAAAGCACTTTAGTCGCTGGCCGGGCATAGATGCCACATGTTCTCACAAGGAGTAGGTCAGCCAGGTGTAAGTTTCTGATGCAAAAATTTCAGATCTCACCCTAGGTATGCTAGAGGGGTGTGTGTCTCGAAATACGCAAATCCTTCAACCACACCATGACGCCTACCTCAATATGTGTGTTTAGTATACTTTTATGTTTATGTATTTGCTTGCTAGCATGACCATGTAGTGGACGCATGTAGTATAGTTTAGTTATTAGTGTGGTATTGAGCTTGTAAGCTCAGTGTTCGGAATTTTTTTTCCGTAAGGAGATTCTGAGGAGGAGCGTCGAGGAGTTTATCGCACAACTAAAATTCTAGACTTTTCAGAGCAGCAACAGAGTACCTCTTGAGTCATTTATTAGAAGACATGTACTATTCATAGACCTTTATTTATTCTATTCGTAACTCTATTTTGAAAATATTTGAATTGTATTATTTTAGAACCTATTTGAGAGCTCATAGTCTGTAAGCTTAAAAACTCATTCTTTTACTTTATGGTTTTAATGATGGTATTTAAATATTAATTTCCATGTGTTTTAAAAAAAATTGGGTTAGCCACTTCGGTCATGTCATGTAATACTCCGGTCGGGCGACCTTCGGGTCGTATAGTATTAAGGTGTTACAATATAACTGTAAAAATATTTGAATTATTTAGCTGATCATATTATTTAAAAGTAAAGTGCACAAATGGTCTCTCATCTATAGGTTACTATTTTGTTGAGTCTCTCGACTATTAGAAGTTATAAAATGGTCTCCTAATTATAGGGTTTTATTTTATTGAGTCTTGTAACTATTAAAAGTTACAAAATGGTCACTAAACTATAGGGTACTATTTTTTTGACTCCCCCAACTATAATACATTGTTTTATTGAGTCTCCTCACTATTAAAAGCTGCAAAATGATCATCTGACTAATCATATAAACTATGCAACTCAAATAGATCATCCATTATAGCTCATTATGTCATATATGATTTTATCATATCACATACAACAGGTTAATGTCCAGCTTAGATGTATGCCAATTTTTCAACAAAAAGGATGAGCTAGTTTGAAACATATTAACAGTCGGGTGACCATCTTTTTTGTTACTTTTAATAGTCCAGAGACTCAATAAAGTAGCACATTATAATTGGGGGATCATTTGTGTACTTCACCCATTATTTAATGTGAACCAATTTGCTTTCTTTGACGCTAACATGCATGATGCATTTAACCTTTGAAAAAATTAACTTAACAAACGTTGGATTACAAAATAAGTAAAGGATATGCTAAATACTATCAATCAAGACTTTATTTCAAAACACTGGCCTATGAAAGAAACATAAGAAAATATTTGAACAATTTCATCATATTTTCTCCTTTCCTGTAAAACGCAGTCCCACTTTTAAATGGCTTTTAAGTTTTATAGATTATTTGATAAAAAGAAGTTAATAGATTGAAGGAATATGTTAGACGTAGGCAGCCTAGCTAATTAAGATAGTTATTGCAATAAATTAACGATCAAAACACAATGTGAAAGAAGCTCCTTAAAGGGTACAAACTATAAATTAAAAAGTGAAAGAGTTAATATTGTTAATGGATCAAGTTTGGTCCGTCTTGTAAGCTTGTAAATTAAACAAGATGACCAAATTTGTTCCATTGAAACCAAAGCTAGCACTTATTATTCTCCTAGCCGACTTAACGGCAAATATGATGATCAGTATATTTTCCTCATGATAATATATAGGTCCCAAGATCTTTAACATTTCCCTTGTCGCTTCCAAAGACAGCCGTTCTCAAGTTCATCCGGTGAAGTTATTCGGTGGTGGTGGCCAAATACCGCCGCCACTGTCGCTAGTCACAGAAGACATGCACGAAAATGGCACTAGACATAGACCTCGACTTCTGAGATCTCGCTGTGCTTCTTCTTCCTCCATCGGCGAGGCCTAAAACAATTTTCAGCATTGAAGTTATACTAGTAATAGGAATTATTTGAATTTCCATAAAATTAAATGAAGAAAAAGGTTATATTTTCCATTGGCAAATGTAGATAGGTTTTGCTTACCCCTTGTTTGGATCTGGATGTTTTATTGGGAGATGACTTCATATACGGAACGCTTAATGTCTGCCAAACACAGGAACTTTAATCATTCAATGATATATACATACATGAAGTAAGGACTGAGCTCTAAACTAAAGGGAGACAGTTTGTCTGCTGAAAAGAACTGAAGAAACTCCGAAATCTGATCAAAATCAAAAACAAAAATTCCCATGGGATGGTATGGTTAAAGGCTATCTACTACCCTACAGATACAGCACTATACGTTGTAATAGTTGTTCGGTGGGATGAATAAAATAATGAAGGACCTCAACTTGGACTTGGTATACTTAAGAGGAGAGAAGCGTATAATTATACAACCCTATAAAGAACCCTAATATTTTAGGGTAAACTTCTAGAGAGGATAGCAAGTTGGGGGCTTGCAGTCCCACATAGTGGCTGTTTCCGATGGGCAACAAATTGAGGTGGAATTAATAATTTAAGAATGTGTCAGAGAATAGTTAATAGTAAAATATAATAATGTAAGAAATCACAAAATTCAAGGAGAATGTTTTCGGAAGGTGATACTGATGGGTACCTCGATTTGATTTTGAAGGAATTTGATGTATCCAATAGCCTCCATTAGTACGGACGCTGTATCTGTCTGTAATATTCTCCCCACCAGCACCGCATGCAAAAATAACCTCGTCATTTTCCATTAATCACCCACTAATCAAATCAAAAACCTTAAACTAATACTATTACTACTAAATAAATAAATCTCTCTCTCACTCTCTTCTCTCTTCTCTTTTTTCTTCTTTTTATCAGCATAGCAGCTACTGGTAGTTGTTTATCATTGTGTTTCTTTCCTCTTTTACCTTGCCAAAAGGAGCAACCAATTGATGTAGAGCTGCAATTCTGTCTCCCAGTTTCTCTTTCCTAACCTGTTACATGTTGATGCAAAACCAAACATAATACTTAAGGTCGGAATATATGTAAATTAACAATCAATAATGTCAAGTTTAAGATTTTTGGTCACCTTAAAGGGAGGGCAGGAGGCGCTTGACTCCAAACGAGATTTTTTGTCTGCTGATGCTGTTGCCTTTGCTTCCGGTAAAATGCTGGGTCTCTTTGCCTCGGTTATTTCAGTGGGGAAGGGTGGTGATATCTTTCATGGAGTGCAAAGAGTAAAGATCAGTTAAATGATCATCCAAAAAGAAATGAAACAAAAGAAAATAAAGACATAAAGTTCTGCTGTAGATATAAGCATGCATCGATTAAAGCTGAAGAGTGCCCCCTATATTTTTCTTTTAACGAGTATAGTTTTGAACATGATAATATTCCTATATGAATAAAGGTTTTCAACTTTTCAATCTCTTTTTTCCCTTAGGATCTTTGAAGAAAGTGCTTCACTAATTAATCGTAGTCTACTTATTATTCGTGTTAATTAGTTGAGTACTAAATTGTATTATAGATATGCCGATATTCTAATCAGAATTCCATGATTTAGTTCAATGCATGAAGTAAAAAAACATGCAGTGTTATATTTTAAGCTTCAGACTTCAGAGCCATGACAGTGCAGTGTAGTATTAAGAATTACAATAATGTTTTGTACTTGGGGGATGGTTTGTAGTAGAAATGAATGCTGCTACAAGAAAGAATAGGAAGGACTTACTTTACTAGGGAAATAAGCTGCGGGCCTTTGATTTGACTGCAGCAAATTATGGTGGTGATGGAGACCAAAAGAAGGGCTGATCTCTTTGTATAAACCAAGATTATCATGATGATCTTCTGAAGGATAGCTAAATCTACTGCTTCTGCTAAATCTGGCAGGATTTAAGAGATCCAAGGCCTCCAAATTCATGTCAAAGGAGCTCGGGATATTCGGGGGAGAAGAAGCTTGGTTCAAACTTGAAATATTTATACTAGGATAAATCTGGCTGAAACTCCCTCTACTTGGTGAAAAACTACTCCTAGGGATAAAACAATTCTGGATACTTGAATAAAATACTGGTTCGGCAGAAAATATCGGGAAACCAGAAGACATTGTCTTGAGCAATAGTTTCTCGCTGAGATCATTCAAATCCCTTTGCTCGTTATTCTTCAAGTAGTTTGCTTGAGGCAGCCGAAGAAAATATCCGACGCTTGAGGAACTGTCGCTTAGGATATCAGTAAATCTCGTGGTGAAGCTCCCATCGCTGTTAGCCCAGTCTTGGATCATGGAACTGTTTTGAGGAGATGTTAACATGTCATTTTTCTGCCTTGAGTGCAATATATCCCCATTATAATTTGGATTGTTCCTAAAAAAACGGAGTCTACATTGAATAAGTATCTAAAATAGTGTACTCGGTGAACCAACAAGTTCTAGGAATCCAAAACCAATGCAAGAAAAAGAAAATATTCTCCGGGAAAAAAAAACTGATAAATAAGTAAATTTGAACTACATAATTGTGATTGATGCACATCAAATCAGAAAAGAAAAAAGGACGATAGATTTCGGAGTTAAAGTAAAATTCATAGTAGCCTGTGAAGCATGAAGAGACAAATATATATGTAGAAAGCTTCATGAGAGAGAAAGGGTAACTTACAAAGTAATACTCGGGGTAGTTGGGGTCCAAGAATGGGTGCTTGAAACTCCATAACAGGGAGAGATAGGTAAAGAAGAAGATAACCCAACAAGCTGGTCTTGAAGCTGGTGCTGGTGATGGGGATTTTCAGATTCCATAATGATAAATTTAAAAGGAACAAAAGAAAAAGGCTTGAAAAACCCAAGATTGAGTAATTAAAATTTTGCTACACTGCTAGTTTCTAGGAATCTCTCACTCTAATCAAAGAAAACAGTTCAGGTGACAACAACCGCATATACACGTCCCTTGTGATTCTAGCTAAGCAACTTTTCCCAGTTTTATTTTTTCCCTCTTTACTCTTTCAACTTTCCATCTTAAAGTAGTCTTTAAAAGGAAGAAAGAAAGAAATAAAGAAAGAGAGAGGAGCTTCAACAATCCCTTCTCCCTCCTCCCTTTAATTAATTATTTTTCTTTTCATCCACACTTTTTTGCAGCTATCCCTCGATACACGATTTTGCTTAAAAAAAACTCACTTTGTTTTTTTAAAGAAAGAAAAAGAAGAAAAGCTCACTGCAATTAGAGGGAGATGATTGATACTTCCTCAAGGCCATGATTAAGATCCCTGCCTTCCATCCCAAGACTTTCAACAAAGGTCTGAGAAGAGAAATGATAACAGCCATGCTCTCTCTTAAGATATACATCTCTCATCTCCACATGTTCAAAGCCCTATATATATATATATATATATTGCTTGTATAGTTATCTTCTATTTATAAAATCAGGAATACAGTGAACAAATATCATAATTTCTTCCCACAAACATTCTCCTGTGGAATATGATATAACCTTTTAAATTCTTCATCGGTGACATGATTGAGACACCTTAACTTATTTTTCTTTTGCTTCTCTTTGTGCTGTGATTGGTCATCCCAAAAAGTACTTAGCTTGCCCCATAAAATATTACTTCGTACAAAGTCCACAATATATATAAAAATCTTTATATATATGTTTTGTCTGAACTTAATAGTCTTATTTAATCATTAACTATATACAACATATGTCGGCTATAATAAAAAAAATCTTTAGAATTTGAAACATGAAGTTATGTAGTGAACTTTGGTCTATCCGATGCAGGTGGGATACCACCTTTTTACACTGCCATTAATGGGTTTTTGTGTGGATGGAGGAGGTGTTGTTCAGATAGATATGTCCTTTGTGATGATCAGACCAAGCCGTATACAATATAGAAACAGCTATGATTTTAGTGAAGACTAGCGAGAGACTGGGAATTTCCCAAGTGAGAGGGGCCTCCCCCTTCCCACGACTAAAATATTTTGGCAGTCACATTATTATATAGGGCATTGGTGATTAAAAGATGAGAGAGTCATAATATTCTTACCATTTCATTATGCATATATTGAAAACATGAAAATTGGCAATCCTTTTCCTTCCTTTTTAATGCTCCGTCTCTTATAGCCTGCCGTTTTCATTAATTTCTCCTCTTGCCCCTTCCCTGCTATAATTTACAGTTTTCATCCCCCCAATTTCTTTGTGTTGTGTGTAACTGTGTATATTATTTGGTTATATTTCAACTAAATTAATATTTAATAGTGTGTAAGTTTTTTTTCAAGTTGATATATTTCGTATAAGTACAATAACAATCAGTCCAATACTACAAGTATAAACACAATTATATAAGCCATCTAAGAAATATAATCAAAAGTAACATAGCACAAGAAGACATATTGTTGGTTTATCTAGATCTACGCACAATCAAAAGTAATCACTGTAGTACAATCAAACCGAATTGGATTAATTGATTTTTTTGAATTTATACACAATCAAATGTAATTATTGTAGTATAGTCAGATTGAACCGGATCAATATAGATCTTAATCTAAATTAAAATAATCTCGATAATAACCTAAACAAAATGATGAGATAAAAACTCATATATAAGAAAGACTCTAAAAATATTGTTAGGAGGACCCAAAATTAAACTATAAACTTTTGGAGAATCAAAATGTATTTTTTTATTATATTAATTTAAAATTTTATTATTTTAAATATTTAAAAACAAATAAAGTGATTTTAGGGTTAAAATCACTTCATGTCTCCTTTGCATTCGCCCTTTTTTACATGCGCGTAAATTTACGAATCATGAGTGAAAATTTATATTTAAAGAATCTTAAAATTTATCATTTTTCATTAATTGATTAGTACGAACCATGAACTCAAGTTCATGTTTTATACACTTTATTTTTTTTATAAATTATTTGCATTGAATGTTATTCACGTTAATATTATTATGAAACTACTTTGGAAAGAAATATAATCATTTCTTTTTTGTCATTATATGTAGTTTTTTAGGGGAGGTCAAAAGAATAAGAAATTGAACGTGAATGGAATAAGTTTCCCTTGATGTGTTATCATCATGATCACTTATATTAACCCAATAAAGAAGCATTAATTTGTTATTATTCCATGCTCCAACATATGTAACTAGAATAGAGTTTGGATACTCGTTTGCTTTTAAGTTTTTTTCTCCTAATTTTCTCTCGTTGGTACGTTGTTCATCACTTTTTTTATATTTATTTATTGTTGATGGCATCAACTTTGATGTTGATTATCGACCGCTAGAATTCTTTATTATCATTTTATTTTATTTATTTTAAATAAGTATTTCCATATGACACGTTTTCATTTATCTTTATGACACATTTTCTTCTATATTTTCGTATGTTTTTCGATAGTTTGGTCGTTGTTTTCACTTACCTTTTTTTCTAAGGGTTGATTTGATATCACCATGATTGATCAAGATGTCACTTATTTGTTATATTGTTGATCATTTTTGCTTTGGACCCTTGGATTAGATTTGAATACATGTTATGCGTTCGTTGATAGCTTTTCATGCCACTTGAGTCTGATATGCGATTTGTCAGTGGTCTTTTAGTAGCTTGATTTCCTTTTGTGGTTCATTTATTGATGCGATCAGATCTGTTTGTATATATATTTTTTTGAGCTTCTTGGTTAGGTTTTAATCTTTCCTTGTATGGTCCTTATGTGATCCCAAGTTGCTAGTTTTGTTTCAATGATTATAGGAAATTGTCCTAATTTTATGCTTAATTTACGATTATGATTGTAAATCTTTATTGTAATTTGAGATATTTCCTATTTTGAATAAAATTTGTGACTTATATTAAAAATAGAGTTTGGATAAAAATATTAAGTTTTGTCACTTGTATCATGGTTTCTCGGGTTAAGCCTTTTTTGTTAGAGGTTATTTCCAAGAGCCAGAGCGCTTTTATCCCTGGGCGTTGCCTAATTTTATGCTTAATTTTACGATTATGATTGTAAATCTTTATTGTAATTTGAGATATTTCCTATTTTGAATAAAATTTGTGACTTATATTTATAGTTGGATAAGTTTTGTCACTTGTATCATGGTTTCTCGGGTTAAGCCTTTTTTGTTAGAGGTTATTTCCAAGAGCCAGAGCGCTTTTATCCCTGGGCGTTGCATTCGTGATAGCACTTTGATGGCCCATGAATTAGTCAAAGAGTATAATAGGTCCTCTTTGTCACCAGATGTGCTCTGAAGTTAGATCTTCAAAAGGCATTTGACTCAGTGGATTAGCATTTCTTTATCCTGGTTTTGGAAGCTCTTGGCATGCATGTTGTTATGGTAGGCTGGGTTGAGGCTTGCATCACTAATCCTTTTTTCTGTATCTCTAAAAGGGGATTAATAGGGTATTTCAAAGTGTCCAAGGGGCTTCAGTAGGGGACCTTTTTCCCCGTATTTGTGTAATACCCAAAAATTTGGTTAGTGACCAAAATATAATTTTTGAAAGTTAAGTGGCTAAAGTATAAAATTTGGAAAAGTTTATATATTAAAGTGTAATTTTAAAAAGTTATGTAATCCATCCCCGTAAATGAATAATTTACCCCTAAGAATGACGTTTTCGTGGGAATAAGATTTTTCGTACGAATTTTGTATTAAAAGATATAAAGTGATAAAGTTTGAGAAAAATCCGATTAATCGGATCGAGTCGGATTTCTAGGAAATTTTGAAGGATGATAAATTAGGCTTAAAAATATTATTTCCACATATTAAAATGATGGAAAATAATATGGATCATTGGATTTGAAGATTTAACTCCATGTTTAATTTGGACCATTGGATCAAAGTGGCAATATTGCAATTTTTGGAAAGTTGCTTGGTAATATTGGAAAAGGGTAAAATATTTGGTTCATTTTTGAATTTGGAAACATGATAAGGTTATGTGGCTTGGTATTATTATAAATATAAAATTTCATTATGGAAAAATGGACATTTCTCATTAAATGAATATTTTATTCATTTAAGCTTAAATAAAGGTTAAATTAACATGAAATTAAAGGAAAATTTCATGAAGTTAGGTAATTTTCAGCCACCATTGTCGTTAGCCTCCTGCTAAGGTAAGAAAAAATTTCTTTTCAATTTTTCAGCAATTTCCTTTGGATATTAGATCATGTCGTGAAATAGAAAATTGTTCTATTCGAAAAAAATTATATCATGGTACCATTATTGCTTGCTAATTTGGTTTGTGTTGAAAGATCCCAAATTTTAGGGTTTTTGTTCACATTAGGATTTCTGGAATTGATGAAGGATTTTAATGTTTTGAGGTTGTAGAATCATATACAAGCATGATTGATGATTAAAATCACTTGTACATGGCTACATAAGCACATGTTGAATTTGGCCAAACCCTAGCTTTAGGGGAAAAAGTGTTTTGATGAAATTTGATTAGGCCTTTGATTCTATAGGTCTTGAAACGTTGAGTCAAGGTTGATTTCATGTTCGAACCTAGCGAAAATCTTGAACCCTAAACTACATACCATTTAGCCTTAAGGAAATAGGTTAGGAAAATTGTGGAAAAATTTTCATGGCTTAGAAATGATATTTGGAAGGTTCTACAAGCCTTAGAAAAATTTTGGGTCTTTTTCTAATTTTTCAAAAGTTGAGGGACCTATTTGGAAATTTTAAAATTTATGGTTTGAATGTGTAATTACTCAATAATTGATGTACACTGTTGGAAATTACTGTTTGAGGGTTGAAATTGAAGTCAGAATGTGAAAGTTAGCTATTTTGGAAATTTGGCAAAGTTTAAGTACAAAATGGAAAAATATTAGAAAAGTTAGTAACTTAAGTGGCAAATATGGCATTATTGAGGTATTGGGTTGGAAATTAAATGTTGTGAAATTATTGGGCCTTATTTGGGCTTGAATTGAAGAATTTATGACAAGTGCCCATTATAAATAAAAAGGAAAAGTTATGATGAAAATCAAAAGAATTCGAAAATAATAGTACTTTTGAGTATTATTATTTTGTAAAAATGTTAGTAAGGATACTAACATTGTATTTTATCTTTGTATATGTGATTATAGATGCTTCTATAGATAGTGATCAAATTCATGATACAACCAAACCAAAAGGCAGGGAAAAAGTTCAAGAATAGTTGGACTTCGTCAGTAAGGCATAATAGTGAGACATACTAGGTGACTGCATTTATTATGTATTTATATGATATGAGGATGACTTGCAATGAGTCAACCTTGAATATTTTTATAAAAGCATGTTTTACTGTATTTTGAAATATTTTCATAAAGTTTATGAAAATGATTTTTA